GAGTTCACTTCCCCTGCTTTCCTGGTCGGCCTAGACAAACCTCATAGCTGGGAGCTGCTGAGAGAAAGTTATACTTACCAGATGCTGCCCTTTTTCTGTACAGCTAAGTGGGGATTTGAACTCAAACCTTGTGGGGCTTGATGTATGCCTGCAGCAGAATGCATTGGTGGCTGTGGTGGTGCCCTTACATTAATCACCCCCCCCCAAAAAAAAAACCACCCTGAAAAACAAGCATAGCCTGCAAAGGATTAAGCTGGCACTCCCCCCCCCCAGATGTGTTAACTTTTTATTTGCAAGGAGTCTTTTTCATAACATTACCAATGTTTCATAGCATCTCCATTACCAGTCCAAAAGGTCAGACTGGAACACATGGGTTGAATTAAGTCAAGAGTTTTTGGCCAATCATGAGGAAGACCATCCGGAGAGTTAGAGAAGGTCCTTACTGGAACAGGCTTCCCTGGGTGGGCTCTCCTTCTTTGGAGGTTTTTAAGCAGAGGCTAGATGGCCATCTGACCTCAGTGCTGATTCTATGGCCCATCACACACACACACACACATCTTAGTGCAGATTTTCAGAGCAGTAAGCCTTTAACCTTGACTTTGGATTCTGTGCCCTCCTTAAGCACCATTCTTTTCCCTCTGGTGTACTTATTGTGCAGCTACAATTTAAAAACGCATTTTTCTAAATCAGGTTGGAACATCACTTGTGATGTGTGTGTGTGGGTGGCATCCAAAGTTTTTTTAAAAAAAATTAAGCAGTTGCCTTATTGCAGCTGTGCAGTAGTGTCCAGCAAGTACCTTCCATTTAAATCCTTGTGGTTCAGGTTTTGCACATGCATTTTAGCGTTAGTTGGTTGAATGAAAGGGAACAGAAAGGAAGGCAGGCAAAGGGGGGAACCCGCTGCTGAAAGTGACCAGACTATATCTGAAACTGACAAGCAGCTGCAAAGCCCCCTTTTCCACCTTGCCAAGCACTAGGGGATTCTCTGATGTGTTATTGGCCACTGTGAAAAATGGGAAGGAGTCACATGATCTCATAATATGGCAAAATGTGTGTGTGTGTGTGCACAAAGTCAGCTGCAACTCCACCACACTTTGCACAGGGCTGCCCAGTTTGTATGGGGGCGGAGTCCTCTGGCAGAAGTTCTGGAGAGCTTTTTTAGTCTTGTGCCACTAAATTGGGGGGAATGGTATTTTCAATACGGGATTATGAAATCCTTCTGGTACTTTAACCACAAGCTTTTAATTAGAACAAAATCCAATCAAACCTGATACTGAATTTTCACAGGACTGAAAGTCAGTTGCAAGCCTCCTGCTCTCTTTCATCACAACTCTTCCACCTGCATTGGCAGCCTCACTGCTAGTTTGTTTATTTGTCCTTCTTAGTTTTAGTGCTCCTGCAGGTGCCTGGCTCTTTGAAGAAAAAACCTTGGAAAACAGCTGCAGCAATAGCAGTGGCTGGAGAACGGTGTCCACAGGAAAATTTAATGGTTGCAGTTCGGAAAACACATATTGCAAATACTCTAGAAGAGCAGGGTCATGCTCAACACAGCTTTTCTGGGGCTAGTCAGAAGGAAGGAGGAGGAGGAGGAGGAGGAGATTGGATTTATACCCCACCCTTCACTCAGAGTCTCAGAGCAGTTTACAAACTCCTTTCCCTTCCCGTCCCCACAACAGACACCATGTGAGGTAGGTGGGGCTGAGAGAGCTCTGACAGAACTGTCCTTGAGAGAACATAAGAGATGCCAATGTTGGATCAGGCCAAAGGCCCATCCAGTCCAACACTCTGTGTCACACAGTGGCCAGAAATACCATGTGCCATCAGGAGGTCCACCAGTGGGGCTTAAAACAAGGGGGAAATTGTGCTTGTACGTCGATGAAGGGGGGGGGAGGATGGTAGAAGGTGCAGAGGGGGTGGAACAACTTCGATGTGGGTGGGGAGTGTCCTTTGACGAGCGACAAAAGGGTGGAGGGAAATATAAGGGAATCTGTACACTTTTGAATTGCCTTCGGCTTGGAAGCGAAACAAGGGGAAAATTGGCACAAAAGCACTCTCAGAAAACCAGGGGGAACAGCAAGCAGAAAGCAAACTGAGTGCTGAAGGCAGGAAAATCAATGCAGAATGACAAAGAAAACCCGACAGGCGTGCACAGTGAAAGTGAGGGGAAACACCAGTGCATAATAAACCTATAACTCACTATGAATTTAGACAGATCCTGAGAGGGCAGGAAGGGTTTGAGCCAGTGCTTGGTTCTTGTGGTCCTTTCTTATATGCCCAGGATAATGCTGATCACCACTTTGGGGTCAGTAAGGAATTTTCCTCCAGGCCACATTGGCCCTGGGATTCTAAAGGGTCTTGCCTTCCTCTGGCATAGAGCAGGGGGTCACTGGGGGAGCAGTTGTGAATTTCCCGCATTGTGCAAGGGGTTGGACTAGTGACCCGTGGAGTCTTGTCTAGCCCTATATTTCCTTGTGACCCACCCCCACGAAAGTGGTACAGCTCATTCTGCCACCTCAGAATCCTGCCACCTCATTCCATTCCATAGTCAAACCAGGGCCTACATGAGGTTTTCTTTACACTCCCTGCACCTTATTTCCAACCATCTTATCTAAGCACTTCTCTTTGCGAGGGACTTTCCAAAATTGTGGTCCCCAAGGTCCGAAGGTGTTTAAAAAAGACCTGCAGGAACTTGCTACAATCTCGCGTGATGCACTCTGGTCTTTCAGGATCTCCCAGAATATTATGCAGCGATAATTCTATAACTTATTCCTAAATGACTACAGTGTGATTAAAGTCTTGCTTACAGCAAATCTCTGTAGAAAAACCAAATATTAATCAAACAAACAAGCACTCTGCAGGGCAGTTCAGTACATTACTGAGTAAAATACTGGCTGGTAGAGATATTGATGCTACCTCTTAAGGAAAAGCAACACTGGGGCTTCCGTCATAATAAAATGAGGCCATAACTCATTAGTAATCTGCAATGTCAGATGGGAAGAAAAGCGGAAAGAGTCCAGCAGCTCCTAGCCATTTGGGGATATTTACTCCAGTTTCTAAGGACGTCCCACACAATCAGCTTGGGTTTGTCCTTTATTATGAATCAGCGGTTTGTGGACTTTCCACACCTCACCTTTGTTCCTCTGAATCTACCACCGTTTAGTTAGGGTCCACAAACTGAGGCTGGCTTTTGGAATCTGGCCAAAATTTGTGCTTTCCTTGACAGGGTTTTGTTTCTATTGATCAGAGCACCTCAGAGGTTCAGCACAATGGTAGAGACAATCCCTATGCCCTTCTTCACCACGGCTTGGGATGCAAGTTCACTACTGACATTCTGAGAGACTTAGAAAGTAGACAGACATCTCTGTTTTCTAAGCCCAAGGTTATGAGGGTCTCCACCAAGGTGTGTATGATTGGTGTGTGTGGTACCCCTACAGTATGCCTCCTACCCCTTCCTGAGAAAGCCCTAAAACCCCGTGTGCTTTAACTGGACACCCTGCATGGCTGGTCCTCCTAATGAAGTTTCTGTAAATGCTCATGTGAGCCCAGAATAGCCTATGGCATGCTCTGGTTATTGCCAGTGTATGCACAGAGGGCTGGATCATGTCTCTTATTATGATCACTTTAATCTTTGAAGACTAGAGAAGACATTTTTCCTATGCCAGACTTCAAATTATTAACAAAAAATAAGGGGCAAGAACAGCAGGCCTACCCCTGAAGCCCCACCCCCTTTTGTGTCATGCAGGTAAGATGTGAGCCATTGCCACCGAAAACATCTGGAGAGAGCATCACATGAAGGTTGATGTGGTCAAGAAACCCTTGGACCAAATGTGAATTTCTGTAGTGCCCCCCGCCACCTTTTTGAGCTTGTGAGCACCTCTGGAATTTTGAGGCAGGGTAGGGGGTGCCACCACAAAATGGCTACCAAAGGAGGCAGAGCCA